ACACACACACACACACACACACACACACACACACACACACACACACACGCACACACACACACACACACACACACACACACGCACACACACACACACACACACATCCACACATACATACATACACACACACACACACACACACACACACGCACACACACACACACACACACACACATCCACACATACATACATACACACACACACACCTGTGATGGTCAGCGTTGTTGCGTCACTGTCTTCGCTGCTGGAGGCCGCCTTCACGTGTGGCTTGCTCCACTCTGACGCCGCCTCTTTGCCATCCCCATCACGCACAACCACTCGCACGTGTTCCGCTCGCAACACCACCTCCATCTTCACTGTTGTTTTCCTGCTTGTTCGCTCTTGCGCAAAATGCCCGTGTTTGCTTTGCTTTGTGCCTCGACACACCTCTGCCCTTGTCTCAACTGTTTGCGCGAGCGAGCGAGCATGTGTCCTAGTCTCATCAATACAATTACTGGAGCAAGTCGCGCAAGCACACATCCACAAGGCACACACACACACACACACACATCCACAAATTGCAGCACTCACATCCAGACAGACACGCAGTGCAGTGAAGCAAGCAAGCAAGCAAGCAAGCAAGCAAGCAAGCAAGCAAGCAAGCAAGGAAGGAAGGTGGGCCATCACTTGGCCTCCGGCCCTCCCAAGGTTGCACGTGCTGCATCAAGAGCGCGTCGCAGCCCCGCCACGGCCCTTGCATCTCTTCCTTGCTCCTCCTCACCATCACCATCCCCACCATCGCCACCCGCACGTGCGTGTGTGTCGAGCCACTCCACCGCCAGCGCCACCACCCGCTCCAGCTGCTGTCGCGCACCATCACCCTCTTCCTGCCCCTCCGATGCGCCCTCGTTTGTACCACCAACAACACTGCCACCAACATCACCAACTCCTTCACCAGCCACGTCACCACCACCACCATCACCATCACCGGCAGTGGCAGTGGCGGCGCGTGTGAGCCCCTGCAGGACAGTGGCAAGGTGGCGGGCGTCATAGCGCGCCAGATGCCGGCCCATATCCACCGTCAGCACATTCATCGCCGCAGCCGCCTGCCCACGCGCAACAAGCGCACGCAGCACGGGCACAAACGCACGCGCGTCAAGCAGGACCCACGCGTCAAGCATGCGCTGGCAAGTGGAGAGGATCTCGTCCCACTGCTTGGCGGCGGCGAGGGCTTCGAGCATGCACGTGTACACGCGCACGTCATTGCGGGTGATGCCGGCCTCTGCCATGCGCTCAAGGACACTTCGCATGCCATCAAGATCCCCCACGTGATCGTCACCACCAACACCAACACCATCACCACTGCTTTCGCCCACCTTGCCCGCAATGCTTGCTGCTGCCGTTGATGTTGTTGTTCTTGATGATGCGTCGCTGGACTTTGCGGCTGCTGTTGGTGTCCCCTCTGCACCCGTTCCGCCGCCACCACTACCTTCACCACGATCATTGCTGCTGCTTGCGTTCCTGTAAGCGTGCATGAGGTGGAGGTACGACTCGTACGTTGGGCGGAGACCGAGCGCCTCTGCCTTGCTCACCAGCTGCTCCACATCGCGCGGCCTGCCCGCCGCAGCAAACACGTGCATGAGGTGGTTGAAGTAGAAGATGGTCATGGGCACGCCGGCCGCCCGCATGGCCAGTGTCAGGCCGCGCACGTGACTCATGTTGGTTGGGTCGGCATGCGCCCTGATGTAAGCATTCCACGCCGGCTCGTCGGGAACAATGCCGTACTTGTCCTGCATGTGTCGCCAGACAAACGCCGCGCGCTCACGGTCGCCCGCCTTGGCGCACGCGCGCAGCATGGTCACGAACGTGATGGCGTCAGGGAGGCGGTGGGTGCCCTCCACCTCCGCAAACAGGCGGAACACGTCGTCAAGACGCCCGCACTCGCCATACACGTTCATCAGCGCCGTGTAGTGCGGCACCTGCACGGGCAGCTTGCACCGGCGAATGTCGGCAAACATGCGCTCTGCGTCGCGCACGCGCGTGGAGAAGGTGAGGGCGTTGATGGCGGCGCTGAATGTCTTCACCGTCATCTTGACGGGCCCCTGGCGGTATGTGTCGTAGAGCTCCACAACGCGGTCAAAGCGCCTGTAGGCGTGGTTGAGGGACAGCATGGCGCTCAGCATGACCGGGTCCATGACCACGCCGTGTGCGGCCGCGTGCTGCAGCACAAACTCCGCCGGTGGCAGGTTGCTCGTCTCCGCCAGCAAGGTGAGGAGGCGCGAGTAGAAGAGGTGGTCTGGCTTGATGCCGTACGCGTCGATCCACTGCATGTACTGGTCAAAGTGCGTCCACGCGCGGTGCCGCACTGCGCCCTGCGCGGCGCTGAGCACCGTGTCCTGGTCAATGACCATCCCGTACCGCGCCATCATGTCGAGGATGCCGCGGCCATCGCGCCTTGGGCTTGCACACGCCAGCCACGCGTGGAGGTGCGCCTGCGAAGGCGTGATGCCGCTCTTGCGCAGGTGCTCCACGATGGCGTAGGCGCTTTCCGGATCCACCGCCTTGGTGCAGCTGCGCAGCGCCCGCAGCGCCGCTTGCGGGTCTGGGTTGTGTGCGTTCAGCACTTTTCGCACCACGTCCTCGTGCCTGTGCTGATGCTTCTGGCGCCCACCGCCTCCGCGACCTTGTCGCTGCCGCTGGCCTTCCTGCTCATCATGGTGTGTGCCATCTTCGTCTTCTTCGTTACCGCCGCTTCCGCTGCCACTCATGCCGTGCTGCGATGCATGTGCTGTGTGGGTGCTGTGGGATGTTCTATGCAAGTGCCTGTGGTGTGCCTGTGGTGCTGTGAGGTGCGCTGCTGTTATCGCAGTAGCTGCCGTTGCCGGCGACCGCTTTGAGCGCGTGGCGGCGGCGCAGGTGGCCGCCACAGCAACCGTGCGTCGTTGACAGCCGACAACAGCGTGATGTTGCGCGAGTCCCTGTCTTGCTGACCCACGCAGCAAAGCCGCCGCAGCTAACCTTGCTCTCGCATGCATCGTCAGGATGTATGTGTGTGTGTGTGTGTGTGTGTGTGTGTGTGTGTGTGTGTGTGTGTGTGTGTGTGTGTGTGTGTGTGTGTGTGTGTGTGGGCTGCTGCGGCGTGGTTGTAGATGATTGGTGAATGATATGTTTGAATATTCAGCAACGCTCACAGCATGATGATGATGATGAGAAGATGTGGTGGTGCTTGTGGTGGTGGTGGTGTGTGGAGGTGTGCGGCTGGCGCACATTGTGCACGCAGAAGAAGACGAGCAAGTACAGCAGCACAAACACGTGCACAGTTGAGCGCACGCCTGCAGGAGCATGTTGCTGATCGGTTGAAGCAGCTTGGGTTGTTGACAGCTCAAGGGACAACGCTGCTTGCTGTGTCGGGTGGTGTGGACAGCATGGCGCTCGTGTCGCTGGTGAAGCACGCTCTGGGTGCTGATCGCTTGCGTGCCGTCATCGTGGACCATCGGCTACGACACGAGAGCACAGAGGAGGCTCACCAGGTGTGTGTGTGGGGGGTGGGCGCTTTGGGTTGGGTCATGAGTTGTTTGGGCGTGTGCTTGTGTGTGTGTATGTGTATGTGTTTGTGTATGCGTGTGTGTGCGCATGGTCAATGTCGCAAGGAGCGTGCCACGCTCGACATTTGCTTTCTGCTCATGTGACAGCTTGTGATGCCCGCTGCCTCAACAAAAGGATAGGTAGCCGCGTATCTCCAAGGCCAAGGCGTTGCCGCGCACGTGGAGCACCTTGCCTGGAGAGTTAACGACAAGCACACTCAGGAGATGGCGCGACACAAGCGCTATCACGCCCTAGGTCATGCTGCCACCACGTACGTTTATATGTGTGTGCGTGTGTGTGTGTGTGTGTGTGTGTGCATGCGTGAGAATGCGTGTGCACGCGTGTATGTGTGTGTGTGCTTGTGTGTGACCACCTACTCGACTGTCTGCGCGTCTCCCAGTTGGTCTGACTGCCCGTTTGCTTGCGCTTGCTCGTGTGTGAAGCACGTCCTCACCCGATTTTGCACCGACAGGCATGGCTGCCGTCACATCATGACTGGGCATCACGCAGATGACGTGGTATACCTTAATTTATACCCTTGCTGCATCTTAGAAGCTTTGTGGCTCACTACACTGCTCAGTCTCTCCACTTGCATTGCACATGCATGCTGCCGTTTCCCTTCATGCCACACATTGCATACGCTCACACACACACTCACACACTCACACACACACACACGCTCACACTCACACTCACTCACTCACTCACTCACTCACTCACTCACTCACTCACTCACTCACTCGCTCACTCACACTCACACTCACGCAGGCTGAGACGCTGGTGCTGCGGTGCCTGCGGCAGTCGTCGGTACACGGGCTGGCTGCCATGCGTGAGGTGCAGCCGCTCTACTATGCTCACGCCTTTGAGCCGCTGCTGCTGACCCGCCCCCTGCTGGCTGTGGGGAAACGCGAGCTGGAACTGTACTGCCGCGACAACGGCATCTGGTGGGTGGAGGACCCCACCAACCGCGATGCAACCAAGTACACGCGCAACAGCATCCGCCACGCCCTGGCTGCCTTGCAGGAAGACGAGCAACAGGAGCACGGCGACAGACAGGAGGGCAACAGGGAGTGCGTGGGGGAAGCAGAGAAGGCAAAGGGTGCGGTGAGGGAACAACTACGCGAGCAGCCTGTAATGGAGCAAAGCGGAGAGGACATAACAATGAACGGTCACCGCTACAACAGCAGTGGCGGCCGTCCTGCCCACACGCGTCGCGACCAGAACAGTAACAACAACAACAACAACAACAACAACAACAACAACAAATACAACAACAAATACAACAACAACAACAACAACAACAACAACAACAACAAATACAACAACAACAACAACAAATACAACAACAACAACAATGACCAAACCCCTGCACACTGCATTCGCGAGCGGCTGTTGGAGGCGTCTGCGTTTGTGACGGCGACGGTGCGCGCGTGGGAGGAAGCGACCGCCAACGCCATGGTGGAGGTTGTCGACGTCACCCCACATGGCGCATGCCGCATCCCGCGTCACGTCTTCCAAGCCAGCGGTCATGGCGCACTGCCGGAACAGCTGCAGCACGCTGTTGTGCGGCGCGTGCTTGACATCTCCTCCTTCCACACCCGCGCGCCGTCGGAGGCGGCCATTGCCCGTGTGTTGGCCTGGCTCCGTCACCCGCACGCAGCCCAACAGCCCTGCAGTGTCCATGGCGTGGAGGTGCGCATGCACACGCACAAGACGCCTCACACGAAGCAGCAGCAACAACAACAACAACAACTTAAACAACAACAACACCAACAACAACAACAACTTAAACAACAACAACAAAAACAACAACAACTTAAACAACAACAACACCAACAACACCAACAACTTAAACAACTTGAACAACAACAACAACAAAAACAACAACAACACATTGTGGTGTTTGAGCCGCAGCATGTTCAGAGGCGACACTCAGGGCCGTTGTGGCAGCCAATCACACATGCAACGCGCGGGGTGTGGTGGCGGCATCGCCTGTGGCTCGAGCCCGTCACACCCATCATCGGCTGCACTGCTACTGCTGCTACTGCTGGTGGTGGTGGTGGTGGTGGTAGTGGCAATCACACCAGCACCAGCACCACCACCACCACCACCAGCGGTGCCAGCACCAGCGTGGATGGCGACGTCATATCTGCCAGCGGTTGGAGTGATGCCGGTGGCTGTGAGCCCACGCCGCTCGTGTGGCTGCGCCCAGCTCTGCCCAAAGAGCAACAGCGACAGCGTCAACGACAACAGCAGAGGCAAGAGCAAGGGCAGGAGCATGAGGGGAGCAGCAGGCACGCTGTGTTTGCGCCTGCGCCCCGTGTTGCTGGGCAGGTTTTGTCAACCACGACCTTTCCTGCTGACTTGATCGCCACGGACGATGCACGGTACCTGCCTGTGATTGAGGACATGCGGCCGCTGCATCTTCAGCGCCAATACCCTGTTCAATTCCGCTGTCGCTGGCGACCCATCTACCTCGCACCGTGACAGTGTCTTGTGTACCTGTTGTTGTTGTTGTGTTCATGTGCGCTGGGTTGTTGGACAGCGATGATTAGGGTTAGGGTTAGGGTTAGGGTTAACAAGGTGGCCCTTGTCTGCTTGTAGGAACGCACTGCATCGCGTTACAGTTTGTTGTGCTGCCCCCTTGTCACTCCGTGACGTTTATTGCGTGCTGTCGCCTTGTCAATACAGCAGCAGCACAGACACTGCCTATGTGCTTGTAATCCCACCCACAACACACACACACACACACACACACACATGCAAACAACACACACACACACACACACACACACACACACACACACACACACACACACACACACACACGCACACAACACACACAACAGCTGTGTTTGAATTTGGCGCGGGCGGATGCTACTTTGCTTGTCCCCGCCCACCTGGAATTGAATCGCTGGAGGGAAATTTTTCGGCCTCCAGCTAAAAGCCACACGCCCAACAACCTCTGCTTGCTTGCTTTGCCCGCTGCTGCCGCGCTGCTGAGATGAACTGTCGCGCAAGCCCCACAACCTGCTGAAGATATGCCAGAAAATCGGCACAAGTGCCGAGAATAGCGATTTTTGTGTTTGTTGTTGTCAATTTGGGGTTCTCAGCACAGTCCAGCATCAGCACACAGCGACAAGCAAGCCGGTGAGGCGAGATGAGGTGGTGGTGGGGCGGTGGCTGTTGTGGTGGTGGGTGCGTGCAGATTTGCACCATCTCCGTTTGTGGGTATGTTTGGAAGTCTTGGTGGACGGTGGGCGTGTGGTGCGTGATGCTGGGAGGTTGGTGTGGGGTGTGGGGTGTCACGGAAGTTAACATTTTGCATCAATCTCACCAGCTCACGCATGCATTTCTTCTCTGTCTCCTCTGTCTCTGCCTGGTCTTGTCGCTTGCTTTGACATCGACACAAATACACACAACCACAACAACCCACGAACACACGCCCTTTGCACGTCTTCGCTGCGCGCGGTCGGCCTTAATTATTACTCCTCGTCCTCCGTCCTCCTCCATCCGCCGCCTGATCTTCACCACTTTGTGACGACACCAGCAGCACACCTGTTCATTTTCCCTCTGTACTTTTTTGGTGAGTCCATCTCATGATCATCATCATCATCTCATCATCATGTGTCACCACACGGCTGTTGCGCAGCCGCCACAGGTTTTGTGTGTCTTGATGTGGTGATGTGGCATGCGTTGCGCGCACACCTTTGTGCTTATGGCCGGAGAGACAGCGTTGTGTACAACAACCCCACCCAACAACAGCAACCACAACAACCACAGCAAACAAACAAACCACACCCACACACTCTGGCGTTGTCCCCACGTGCTCACAACAACAACAACCACCACTGTTGCCTTTGTACCATCCACGCCATGACATGGCACGACAGAGCTCTTCCTGATCCTCGTCGTCTTCGTCTTCGACTTTCGTCTTCTTTTTTCCCTTTCCAACAGAACCACAGACCGCCAACATGCAGGCCATCAAGTGTGTCGTCGTCGGCGATGGTGCCGTCGGCAAGACCTGCCTTCTCATCTCCTACACCACCAACGCCTTCCCTGGCGAGTACATCCCCACCGTCTTTGACAACTACAGCGCCAACGTCATGGTGGACGGCAAGCCCATCAACCTTGGTCTGTGGGATACCGCCGGTCAGGAGGACTACGACAGGCTGCGCCCGCTCTCCTACCCTCAGACGGATGTCTTCCTCATCTGCTTCTCCGTCATCAGCCCAGCATCATACGAGAACGTCCGCGCCAAGGTGCGTGTTCTTGTTTTACAATGACAAGCAGAGCTCACGGGGCGGTGTTGTGTTGGTGTGGTGCCAGTGTGGCGTGTGGCGCGTGGCGCGTGTTGGAGGTGACCTGCACATGGGCGCGAGAGCTTCGATGGTGACCGTGAACTCGAGAGGGTTGCTTTTTCCTTGTCACTGTTTTGTCGGTGTCATGCTTTTCCTCTCGAGGACGACGACGACGATGATGATGATGATGATGGTGATGGTGGTAGTGGTGGTGTGTCATGTTGGTTGACTCATCCTTTCAACTTTGCTCTTGTTTGCCCCGCGCTGCTTCGATGTTTTCCCATATGCAGTGGTATCCTGAGGTGAGCCACCACTGCCCCAACACACCCATCATCCTCGTGGGCACCAAGCTCGATCTTCGCGAAGACAAGGACACAATCGAGAAGCTCAAGGAGCGCAAGCTCGCCCCCATCACATACCCTCAGGTGTGTATGCACCGTTGTGTGTTGTGCTGTGTGCGTGCTGTGCTTGCTGTGCTTGTGCAAAGTGTTTGCTTGCGTTTGTTTGAGCTGTTTGTTGATGTTGTTGAACCCGTTTGCACTGCGTCCGTGTCTTCTCTTTCGCCCATCCCTCCCTCCTCTTCGCCACGCCCCAACCCCAACCCCCAACTCCTTCCTTGCTCACCCCGCCATTGCAACTCTTCCCCCCCCCCTTTCCGCCCCGCCCCCTCAACGCCCTTTCTCCAATTGTGCAGGGTCTGCAAATGGCCAAGGAGATCAACGCTGTCAAGTACCTCGAGTGCTCTGCGCTGACACAGAAGGGCCTGAAGACGGTGTTTGACGAGGCAATCCGCGCCGTGCTCAGCCCTCCCAAGATCCAGCGCCGCCGCACCGGCTGCGCCCTCCTCTGAGCGCCACCCGCCAACCAACCAACAGACCAACAGATCGACCAACCAATCAACCAACCAACCAACAGCGCCTACACTGACAACAGCGTCTGCTGCTACATTTCTTTCTTTCTTTCGTTCTTTCTGTCTGTCTTTCTTTGTTCAACAACGCTTCTTGTCAACTTCACCGTGCATCGTGTCACACATACCCTCGCCCAACTCTTCTCTCGCCTCTTTTGATGCCTTTTCTGAGCGGGCTCTGCTCGTCCTGTTGTCGTCGACGCCTCCATGTGTGGTGATGGAGTTGTCATTGTTGGCTGATGGTGTCGCGTGTTCACGTCACGTCCGCTTGCTGCGAACCGCTTGACCGCTGGTCGCGCAGCGTCTTGTTCTGTCCGTTGCTTGACATGGGGGCGTGACGGGCACCGCACTCTTAGTCACTGATGATAATGCGCATCATCTCGTCCTGATCTGGCTCGTTGGCACAAAACCATTGTCTTTCCTCGCGCCGTTGTTGTTGCTGCCGTGTTTCTTTGGGTTGGTTGTTTTTGCGATGCCCTGGTTGTCTGTATGCCTTCTTCCCCCCGGTGTGAGAGCACGTGGGGAGAGGGTGTTGCTTGTGCGCGCGTGCCGTGTGGTCGTCGCATAGGTGATTTGTGTGGTGCAGAAGGCACGCGAGCACAAGCGTGCAGCAACCGTGGTGGGCTTTTAGCCGGTGTTGCTTAGTGTGGTGGTGCGTTTTCTCGTTCCTTTTTGTATGCATGTGGCACGCGCACATTTTTCTTTTCTTTTTCTCTTTCTTCTTCTTCCTCCTCTTTCCCGTCGCCCTCTCATCTGCTTATAGCCGTATCCTTGTCTCTGTGGTGTTGTTGACACAACGAAACTTTCGCACAGTTGTGTGTCTGTGTGTGTGTATGGATGGATGGTTTGTGAGGGCCTTGTTTTGTTTCTTTGTTCTCGCTCATCAACGTCGTTTCTTGCTTGTCAAAGGACTACAAATTACACCATACACAAAACAAACACGGCGCGTGTGTGTGAAGGGTGGGGGGAGTTGGGATGGAGATAGAGATGAGGGTGTGTGTGATGGAGATTAAGTTTGCGGTGAGGTGATGATGATGTCGACGGAGAAGCAAGCAAGTGTGCGGCTTTGCGTTTGTCGGTGGAAAAGTGATGGATGATTTTGGTCAATTTTCGGTACATTGCCTCCAAACAAAGACGCAAGCGCAGCCCAGGCGAAGCAAACGCAAAGACCAAGATGAGCGACACTGAAGTGCAGGACGTGGAGGAGGTCAGCACAAGCATCACACGTGTGTGTGGGGTGTGTGTGGGGGTTGTTTTGGTTTGGATCTTTACTTCGCGTTGTGTCGCTTGAAAGGCTGTGTTGTGGCGCGAGTGGGGCAGTGTCGTGCACACATAGCACATTCACAAACACAAACACACGACACACACGCAAACACACACACACACACACAACACACACACACATTCACATTCACACACACACACACACACTCACACACACACACACACACACACACACTCACACACACACACACTCT